ACACACACACAGAGAGAGAGAGAGAGACACGACACATTTCCATTCCTCCCTCCTTGCTTGCCGTGACTTTGTGTGTGTCTCCCTGCTTGTGTGCTTACGCATGCCAGTCTTGGGTGGAGGTAGCTGCTGTGGCTGTGTCTGTGAGAGTGTCTGCGACGCCATGTGCAGCTGGCTGTCCTCCATCATTGCCTGTTGACTGGCTTGCTGGCTCATCTGCATCTGCATCGCCATGGTGGCTGCTGCCGCCGCCAGCTGTGGCATGTTGACCTGTGGGTGGTGCGTGTGGGTGGCGAAGAGGGGCATGTTGAATTGAGGAGGGGGGTGCATCACGTGCTGCGGCTGAGAGTCCACCCACCCACCGCCAACCGGCTGCATCACTCCGACTTCACCACGAGAATGAGACAATCAATCGAAGCAATCACTATCACATCAAGGATGAGTGAGGTACCCTACCACAACCCTGAAACCCAAGACTCGCGCGGCGCGAAGCCCATGTATCGCATCTCTCGTTTGCCCTCGACGGCGCCCATCTCGCGGCAGAAACGACCCGTAACGGCCAGCCTGTCTTTTCCCTCCTCCCGCCTCCGCCTGCCTATCGGCCGGCTATCGGCTTCCCCCGCGCCAGACGATGGCAGAGCCCTTCATCGCCGTGGGCATAGGGCTGTGGCAAGGCTACGTAGCCGTCAAGCTTCTGCGTTCCACTGCCAACATCGTCAATGATGTGTCATCGGGCAACCTTCCAAGAGCAAGCGACGTCGTTCGGGTTCTTATGGCGCCGGCTCTGGGAGACATTGACCCAGGTATTGACCCGCCTCAGCCAGTGGTGAACTTCGTGGCTAATGCAGCGGCAGCGGTCGAAGAGGAGGCTCCCGGGCTGGTGCCGCAGATAGCGAGTACGGGCGCCCAGGCTGCCATGCTGCACGCCTCTGGCGGTGGGCTGGACGCCTTGGCCGGCGACCTCAACCCCGTCACCGACTTCTTGCTCACTCACGGCGGCAATGCCGTCCATTATGGGACTCAATTGGTGCTCCAAAACCAAGAGGAGGTGCCGTTTGCGAGATGGGTCCTTGAAAGCGTTATCGAAAAGGGCTTCCAATTCGCCGGTGAGGGAGAAAGGCAGACACACGTCAGTCGACACACATGGACGGCTTGTCCTCCCTGTCTGTCTGTCTGTCTGCCTGTCTGCCTGTCTGTCTGGCTGGCTGGCTGGCTGGCTCCATCAGATTGGGACAAGGTGACGGTTCAGACGTTGGTGGAGTGGACTGAGAGGTCGGCAGCGGCAGGGTCGGCCTCTACCACTACACAGGCAACACCGCTGGAAATGCCCGGCCTGCAGACCGCGTGGATCCTGGCGTTTGGCAGAGCCAAGAACCTCTTCGACATATTCGATCTGGAGGACGGCAGTCTGTGCCGCCACCACCTCGTCCGAGATGTCAATATGCTGACGGACGAGCAATTCGATGCGTGGGCGGCTGGCAAGGAATCCATCGGCTTTGCCCGGTGTGTGGCGGTGATGCTCGAGATGGTCATCATGTGCTCCGACATGTGCGCCGTGTGCAACCAGCACTTGCTCGACGGCAAGGCGGTCGCCGCGCCCTGCAAGCCAGGCGGCGAAATGAGGTGGAAGCTGGGCAAGACGTACAAGCACTACCAGCAGACCGCGATGGGGTGGGTGTGTGCGCAGTGTGATAGCACCCTGGTGCTAACCAAGGCCGCCGCGGGCACCATGTGCGGCGGCTGCAGTACCGTCGTGGCGTCCGGCGAGCCCGTCTACCACTGCGTCACTTGCCCCAACACCCTCTTTGTGGGCGTCTGCACCCGGTGTGAGGCCGCCCAGGGCTTCGTCCGCACTTGCCCCGAAGGCCACCATCTCGTCCTGAAGGTACACTGGCCAAACGATCGCTCAGTCTGTCTAAACAAAGGTCATGCTGGTACATTGGCTATGTGTCTGTCTAAACAAAGGACGCCTGCAAAGAGTGCAATGAGTGCCACAAGTACACGAGCAAGCGCCATCGGTGTTCGGTCTGCGAGTACAACCTCTGCCAGTCTGAGACGTGCATCAGGCCCAACCGGAGCCTTAATAGCAGCTAGACAGACACTGTCAGACAGGCCCGCTATGGCTTAGTCATGCAGCCGTGTTTTTTCCCTTTCCTTGTCAATCGGGGATTTCCCGATTAATTCATGCATCGATGGATCCCTGTATGTGCGGGGAACGTGTTGTGTGTTGTGTGTTGTGTGTCTTTGTTGTTGTGGGCCATCCGCATGTGTCAACTTAGTGGATTGACGAGCCTTTTTGCCCAGAATCCTTGGGGGGTGATCAACGCATTGGCGGGATTTGCGTGCCTGCCTGAATTGCGTATGGTTGGTGTGATGTCAGCCAGCCATTCGTCATGGGTGTGTATGGGTGTGTGTGTTTGTCTTGCCTAGTTGCCTGCCTGGGTTGGTTTTTGCCCTCAACGATCAGAAATAGCTGAATCGGGTGTTCTCTAACTGACGGTGTGTGGGTGTGGATCGCGATGCACTCGCAGAGCAGACAAGAGCAGACTGGCGTGGTGTTTTTGTTTGAAAGTGCTCCTGGCACGCAGTGGAGTGCACGTGCATGCGATGTGATGAGACCGATAGTTCGGGTGTGTCTCGTTTGTGTGTGTGTGTTAATTCCTTCCAGTGGCATGAGAAGCACGGCTCGCAGTGAGTAAGCCAACCACGGATAAGTGCAGTGCATGAGGCGGGGGATATCGATACGTACGGATGTGTGGATGGATGGATGGATGTGCATGCTTCGGTACGTACAATGTGCGGATGTGATTGACTCACTTTGTTTGGCTGTGAGAGAGAGAAACCTGTGAGACATGCGCGTACGTCGTACGTACATGAGTATGGCTGCTTAGCCGCCGCCCCCCATCTCTCCCACGGGCCCCAGCCCATCCCCCCAACCCCAACCTTCGCTTGAAGCAGGACGCTTGTTTGTCGAATCCCGAGCGCAAAATCCTCCATCTGGAGGCTTATTGCCTGTGTAACATTCAATGTCTCCCCGGGCCACATTCCATTTGGCCGTCTCGGTCACAGTCTTCTTCACTCTGACGGCGGCGACCTCACCAAACCTCCACCGCCTGAGGTCCGAGCACGGCCAGGCTGCTTCCCCTGAGGTCGCCACAGAAGCTCTTGCTGCCCCGCTGCCGCGTGTGTCTTTGGAGCAGGGAGCATCCCGCGGTGTGTATGAGTTGCTGCAGTGCACTGCACCCCACATGTCATCAGGCGTGCTTGACCATGGCTCGTTGGCTGAATCGTTCAGGGACATCGGTGGAATCCATCGTGTCGTCCCGATTTGTGCAGCTGCACGACGAACGTAGGTGTGTATGGATGAGGAGTGCACTGCTCATTCATGTCTCCGCGCACATGTGGAAACGCCACACACACCTGTGTATGTGTGTGCAGAGGCCAAGAAAACAACGACCACAGCCCCTGACGCAGACTGCAAGAGTGACAAAGACTGCAATCCGCCACAGAAATGCTTCAAGAGCAAATGCAAAATCGAAAGAGATAATGTTGATTCCTGGTACGTGCACACCCGCAGGGACACACATGGAGGAACACATCTCTCTGTCTGTCTGTCTGCCTGTCTGTATGTGTGTGTATGTGTGCGTGCGCTGTGAGTGTACAGGTGGATAGTGTCAGCAGCGAGGGGGCTTCTGTAGAGCCCTACACACCACACGTCACCTTGAGGGGTGCTCAGCGTCTGTCTGTCAGACAGTCTGTCTGGACGTGCGTACACAATGGCTCTGGTGGTGTGTGTGTGTGTGTGTGACACCACGCGGCCCCTTTGTTTGGCCTGTGCCACTGCCTGAGAAAAAAAGAAGCTCGTCTCAAAAATCTGTAACACGTACCGGCTCATCAAAAAGGTCTGAGCCAATGCATATATATGCCCAAACGCGCAACGCAAAGCACTGACACTCACCCGGCCGACTTGCAGGGCATCACGCTGCTGAAGACTCCCCAGGTAGAAAACACACACAGCAGGCTCAGCTCACACCACACCACATTCCATCCACCACCGGACCGACTTAACAAAAGGGTCTCTACGCACATCAAATGACAGTCATTCTGTCAATCAACCGGAACGCCGATGGACCCCACACTCACTCACCCTACTGCGGCGCCTCGTCCTTCTCACTGCCGGTGGTGTCGTCATGTGTCTTGCGTCGCTTGTCGACATGCTCCTCAGCCGTGGCAGTGGCGACGGGACAGTCAGCCTCGCGCCTTTTGTCGTCGTGGTGATCTTTGGGAAGCTCCTGGTGGAAGGCCCAGGTGAGGCCAAAAGGGTCCAGCACACGACCATAACGCGCGCCCCAAAAAGTGTTCTGACCACACACATATGAATCCATACATCAGGCCACCTCGTGTGCATCTTCTTGCGGTCACCTGCAGCTCATATGTGACCTTAGCGCCGTGCTCGATGGCGCGGTTGTACCACTCGTCGGCATTGGCCACGTTGAGGTGCATCGTGCAGCCGGAGAGGCCCTTCTCCTCGCCGTCATCGAAGTTGTCGGCCATATAGAGGTCGCAGCCGTGGACCTTGACGTGCAGGTGCATCACCTTGCCTGTCTTGTCATCCTTATAACCTGCACCGACACGCACAGCATCCACCACGCAGCGATGAGTCTGGCGCTGTGTTGTGCGAGTGTGATCTGTCTGCGTGTGTGGTTGCTTTGCTTACATCCTTTGTTCTCTCCGAGTACGCCCTTCTCTATCCACTTGGCGTGTTCGACTGCTGCTTTGGAGGTGACCTCACACACCAGACCCAGCTGGGTGGAGTCTGGCTGCTCTACAGGCTCGGATGACATGCTGGCGACGACGGCAGCTCGAGGAAAGCGGCCGAATCGATGAACTGTTACGCAGATCTTCCTCCACCTCCAGAACTGAGCCTTGGAAGCTCGCATTGCACGTCTGTGTGCGCGAAACGCTGTGATGGTCTGCACCCTTTACATTAAATCCACAGCGCCACGGATAAGCACTGGCCATCGGCACACAGGTACACGCATCAAATATCGTCTGTATGCATGCAGTTTGTGCGCACCCAGCCAGTAACCTAACCTGCAACCATGCCCCATGCCCGTGCTGCTGGCGTGTGTCCATTCCTCTGTGCATTCAGTGCCCCAGCCTCACGTGAGCGACAAGACAGTCCGACCAGTCTTGTCGCTAGCGTCAGCCAAGGGTTCCTCAATGCAGACAGAGGGAACCAAAACCAGCGAAGCAAGATGGGAAGTCGGAGTATCCACCACACACCAGACACCTTCGTGGTCCTCTCTTTGTTTGTGTTCATCTCTGTTGCCCGCCCACCGTCAGATTCAACAATGCATCCGGCGCGTCTGCGCACCTTCACGGCAGGGATCCTAGTTGCCGACAGCAGCAGAGTGAGCCTGCTGCAGCAACTGAGACCCCTGCCGCCCAGGTGCAGAGACGCGACGAAACGCATCAGTCAGCAATAGCAGGGCCAACACACGCTCAGGATAATGCAGCCGAAGCCTTTCTGCTCTTGCCAGCCTTCCAAGCTAACATCTCTGACTGCCATGTGAGGGAGTCGGTCAGTAAGCCACTAAGTCAGAAGTCAAGAAGTCAAGACGTACTTTCCATCCGCCAGTGGCAGTCAGTGGATTGACACGCTCCGACGGGATAGAGAGAGACGCTCACAGAGGCGAGCAGACGGCCGCAGTAAGTGAGACGACACGACAGCAAGGGAAGCGAGAGAGAGAGCAACAAATACTCATACGGATGGATGGATGTGCACACACACAAGGAGGACAAGACAGAGAGACAGGGAGGAGAGAGAGAGGGAGAGGGAGAGAGAGGAGTGGCCACAGGGAGGTAGTGGCAGGGCCACGTGTCATGGATGATGCACACAGCATTCATTCACACATCAGCGACCCACGACCGACCTATCACACCACACACCCGACCGACCGACAGCACCACACGCACACGTATCTACAGCAGCCACCCCGCCCCGGCCCCGCCCACGTGTCTGAGGCCCCACTCTCCTTCACTCTCTCCCCTCTCTCATATTAATTATAGATCTGATCTATATATAGCAGGTAGGTACATAGCCAGAATCAAGGCCATCCATCCATCAGGCACGCCAGAAAGTGCTCGCCTCGCCCAACCTGCCTGGTGCGGGAGGCGGGCCACCCACCACACACAACATACACACATACAGACATACGGAGGGATCTGATCTGCGATCGAGGCATGATGTACACGCCACAGCACACCACAACACCCCACACCCGCCCCCGCCCCCCACACCACACCACACCACACCACACCAGCACCCGTCTTGGCTTGTGTGTGTGAGTCAATGAGTCAGTGAGTCAGTCAGTCGCTCAGCGGCCCCCCGGCCCCCTCGCCGTGACGCCGTATGGCCTCACATACGACTCGGGGTACCACCCCACCTGACATGCACACACCAGCCACAACACATCACATCCATGTGCACACATGATTGCATCATGAGCCCACGAGTGTGTGTGTGGCTGACGTACGTGATGTGTGCGCGAGTTGCGTCCGAGCGCCCAGCCCTGCTGCATGCTGCCAGCCGGCGGCTCCATGGTGTGGTGTGGTGTGGGGCAGATGACGTCCCCCACCTCCAGATGGAGGAAGTTGCCGTCAAACTTCCCAAAGTACGGCCCACGCATATCCCACCCAGGATCAGGGAAGCGCGCGAATGCCTGGACGTACCCAGGTGGTTCCCACGGCTGGGGCAGGGGATTGTGCTGGTGCTGGGCCCCGTAGCTCATGGTGGGCTTAGTGCTGGGCGTGGCGATCATCGTGGGGGTGGTGATGGTGCTGTGGGCGGCCGAGTGCTGGCGAGCCGTGGGCGTGTAGGGCACCTTTGGGGCAGTGGAGGGCGAGAAGTGTTTGGGTGTGTAGGAGACGGTAAGAGGGAGTGGGGACGGTGGGGTGGGCTGCGGGAGGAGGGGCCCGAGGGGAGGGGCAGGGGCAGGGGCGATGGCCGTGTCGGTCTGGGTGTGCTGGTCTTCTTTGGGCTTGGGGGTGCTCAGCTGCTGGATGGTCTGCTCCTGCCGATTGATGATGGCCGAGAGAGACAGGACAGTCGTGTCCTTCTCAGCGACGCTGCACTCACACACACAACAGAACAACAAAACAGCACGACCACACTCATCACATGCACACTCCCTCCCTCCCTCCCTCTCTGGCTTGTGTTGCTCATTGCTGACCTTGCCTTGGCAGCCTCCAGTTCTCTCTGAATCTCCTCCAGCCGCCCCCCCATCTGCATTCGCTCAGTGTCGACCAGCACACGCACCGCCTGGCCCACACTCATCACGGCCGGCATCGCACCCTGCAGCTGGTCCAGCAGCGCCACCGCCTCGCTGTCAGACATACAGGGTGGGGCAGGACCAGCCCCCAAACCAACACCCATGCCCACATCCACACCCTGGCCGACACCCACGCCCACGCCATTCGTCGCCGGCACCAGGGGGAATGCCTGTCCGGCCCCCTGACCCTCCTGCTGCTGCCCCTGTATGTGCTCCTGCATGCCGTCCATCATCGGAATGATGTTCGGTGGCTCCATCATCACCATCGGGGGCTGCTGTGGCTGCTGTTGCTGTTGGGGGGAGAGGCACGCAAACGGCACTGCAGCTGCTGCGGGGGCAGCAGCGGCAGCGGCGGCGGCAGCGTCTGCGCCTCCCTGCTGAGGTTGAGGGGGAGTGTGGGTGTGGATGTGGTCGACTGGCGCCGGCATGGGCATGAAGGGCAGTGGCGAGGAGGGGCCGGCCGGTGGGACGGAGGCCTCGCTGCCGAGAGGTGAGAGGCATGGCCCGAACGGCTGTGTGCGGCTGGATACCGCCCTCTCCTCCCGCACCACCCCATCACCGCTCTGCTCCCCCACGCCCAGTGAGTGTTGTGACGCAGCCAGGGCCTCCTCGCCGTCACTCTCGTCCTCATGCTCGCCGTAGCTGTGATGATCCAACACAACCCCCACACCACTGGGAGGCCCCGACAGGGAGGCGGCCGAGCAGAAACTGTGTGCCTCGATCTGCGCCGAGAGCTCCTCCTGCTCGTGGTGGTACTCGGCCACCTGCTGCACGACCGGCGGAAACGAGGGCGGCGCGAACGACGGCCGGGGAGGGATGAATGGCTCCCCCTCCGTCACACGCCCACGCTGATGCTCATCATGGTCATACGACGTGGTGCTGGGCGCCTGGGTCTGTGTCTGTGTCTTGTTGCCGTCGCCCCATTCCTCTGTCCAGGTGGTGGGTCCGTCATCGTCTGGCTGGAGGGATGATGAGGTCGACGGGCGGATGGAACGAGAGGAGGGTGCGGCGGGCGCCACGGGCTCGGGGACGGGGAGCGGCTGGCTGGCTTGAAGGCTGAAGGGGTTCCTCGGCACGGGTGCGGTGATGGGCATGCTGGGGGAGGGGCGCCGGTGGTCTTCCAGCAGGATGGCGTAGCGCTTCTCGCCGATGGTCTTCCTGACGTCAGCCAACGTGAAGTTGCTGCACGGCCACACACACAAAGCAAAGAGCGGGTGGATGAGTGAGTGGGTGCGTGTGTGATCCCGCTGTACACACCTGAGCTGCATTTGCATCTTGCCGCCGGTCTGGTTGGGGTCCGACAGCTTGCTGCGCCAGAAGATCAACACAGGACCTGGTTTGGCAGGCAGTACACAGCCAGACGAACACACACAACCACACAGCGACAGACACATAAGTGCACAGCCCAGCCCAGCCCAGCCCTCCTCCCTCCCTCCCTCCCTCCCTTTGTCCATCCATCCATCCATCCATCCATCCCCATCCCCCCATCCATGGCTCTATCTATCCCTTGACTGACCTCTGCAGGTCACTCTGGCGCCGTCCGACCGTATACTGCCGATGCCCTTGTCCTCAAAGAACACATTCTTGTACACGGTTGCGATGGTGTTGCGGGCGTCCGTCCGGTGCTCGCCCTTGCGCAGCGTCAGGATGATCGGCACGTTGTCGTCGCGACAGTCATGATACCTGCACACGCAACACACACCACACCCCACCACACCTCACATCACCCCATCACACACACCATCGTGTGTCACCACAGACACCATCGAGTGCTGTCTGTCCAGATGCACTCGCTGTCTGTCGCTGACTGAGCCACCCACCCAGGGAAAACGGTGATGTGCTCCGCAGACGGCATGTCGCTGAAGGGCTTCGGCGCGTATTTGGTGAGGATGGGGATGCAGCCGATGGCGACGGACGGCATCTTGAGGTTGGCGGCCTGCAGCTCCAGCACATGCTGCTTCGGCTCACCCTGACCCACGGCGGCGATCTCCACGTAGGCCAGCTTCACCATCTCGATCTGCTGCAGCTGCACCCGAACCGCTCGACCACGCCGGTCAGCGCTGCAGGACAGTGGAAGGAGCGAGCGTCAAGCCAAGAGCTTCGACATGGGCTTCGACGGCTCCCCTTCCGGGCAGACTCGCAGCGGTTTCACGGAGCACCCTAGCGGCAAAAAGCGAGCTGCCATCTGTTCTGTCCCTATGAAACACAAATCACTCACCAACGCAGAGGAATCCGTCACTGCTTGCCGCCAGCATCTTCTGCTGACCACACAGATCAGAGATGCCGAAAGACGCCCCGGCAGGCGCGTCCTCCGCCGCTGCTGCAGCAGCAGGCGCGGCAGGCCGCAGCAAGAAGGCCGGTGCGCCCTCTGCCTCTCGCTCCCCCTCTAGCACAGCGTCCAGGGCCATCCCGTTCAACCGCGACTTGTTCCGGCGGTTCATCAAGCTGGTGACGGCGACCTTTTATGACGACATCCACTTCGTTGTGTGCAGCTTCCTGGCGCGAGAGGAGAGGGCGGTGCTGGAGAAGGAGATCAAGGACAGGCTGGATCTCTACGACAAACAGGTAACACACGAGCGGAGGAGGGAGGGAGATGCAGACAGACATGGTGGACCTGTCTCTCTCTCTCTCTCTCTGTGTGTGTGTGTGTGTGTGTGTCTCGGGCGTCGTCAGCTGCGTGAAGCGTTGGTTCACCTTGAGCAGGAGATGATCCTCGAGTGCGAGAAGCCCTGGGAGCGCGCCAAGGGCTCCCCGGCGTACTGGCGCATTCACCCGAATGTGGTCCACTCGGTCAAGTGGCGCCTGGACGAACTCGACAGAAACCTCAAACAGGTCAGTCACCCCACCTCCACACAAGGTCACGTGTGTGACCTTCGCACTACACACACACACACACATACACACACATACGTGGATGTGTCTTTTCACGGCGGTGCGCGTGTGTGTGTGTCTGTGTGTGTGGATGGGTTGCAATGCAGGCAGTGTCCGACGCCTTTTCGATGGACGAGTTCGTGTGCCCCCGGTGTGGTGAGAAGTACACCTCCCTAAAGGTGCAGCTCTTCCCGCGGCACCCTGACGACGGACACTTCCTATGCGAAAAGTGCATGGAGAAGCTCAAGGCTGGGGTCAGTGACTGAGAGAGTGGTCGAGGGAACAAGATACATACACACACACACACACACACACACGTGTGTCGTTCCTTCCTGCAGGACAGCGTGGCATTGCGTGCCTTGACGACAGAGCGTGAGACCCGCGCCCGCCGTCAGCTGGCGACCCTGATGGACGTCATGAACCGCATCCAGCACATGCAGATGATCCACTTCCCCCTTCCCGTCAAGGAGAAACAGCCGCAGGGGGCGGACAGCGACGCCAACAAGATCACCCAGGCGGCATCGCTCGCCGACGCCTCCATCCTCAAGATATCCAAGGACACCGGGGATCCCTCGGGGCAGAAAAAGACGTCCAAGGCGATTCCCTGGCTGACGGTGCCCAAGCCTGACGAGGTGGAGGACGGGCCGAGGGCGGCTGTGATGGCGGTGCGGCCGAAGGGTGAGATGAGCGGGGTAGGGATGATGGCGTCACGGCCGGGTGGTGGTGTTGGGGGCTTCAAGATCGAGATATCGACCAACCCGACGGCTGGTGTCAAGAGGGAGGCGCCCGAGGGGCTGGGCGGCCTGCAGCCTCCCGGCAAGAAACCCGCCACCAGGTCAACTCAACACCAGTGAGAGCTCTTTTGGCCGACTGCATGTTATGTGTGTCCATGTGTGTGTGTGTGTGTGGCGGTGACGTATGTGTGTATGTGATGACTGCAGTTCTGCCAACGACCCCCGTGGCAATCTGATGGACGTGGAGCAGCTGCTGGCCATGACGCGCCCCGTCAAGAAGGAATGACATACATGGCGGGGCTGGGGAAGGGGGCGTGAGAGGGAATCGGTTATGCATTGATTGGCGAGGGGCCTGCCGGATGCCATGCCCTTCGCTCGCTCGCTGTGTGCAGGGATGTTTGTTGACATGACATCGAGTGTTTTTTCGTGTCGGCAGGCAGACAGAGAGACAGACAGACAGACAGACGTGTAGATACGGATTGACGTACAGCGGTTTGCAGGTGGCATGATTGGATTATCGGATTATCAGATAGATTTGTGCGTTAGAATACGTTAGTTACATGTTATGTGTGTGTTCTGTGTTGTGTGACTTGACTGACTGACGTCCATCCATTCTTAGTGTCTCAACCAACCAACCGACGCATCATGGGGGAAGCTGCCCACCACACCACACCATACCACGCCAGACATCCATCAAATTGACCCCGTCACCTCCCCTCACAAACACATGATGAATGACATCGCGCACACACAGCACGGCACGGCAGGCACCCCAGAGCAATCCATTCTCCACGTAGTCAATTAGAATCGAGACCCACACACACGTCATGAATGCCGGGCAGCACACAAAAGTGATGACTGACCCCCACCACCAACACCGCACCACACCAGACAAGCTCAGAATGACCATGTAGTGCTGTGTAATGACGTGTGTAAGTGGGTGCTTGCCTGGCGCTTCAGCCGCTCATCCATCCCATCCAAGTGGTTCGGTTCGTTCAATTAGGTGTCTGTCTGTCAGTCGATGGCTCACCTCTTTGCTGAGTTATCGACCCCACACAACACAACACACATCATCATCATTGTCACAGACAGACAGACAGACAGGCAGGCAGCGAATTGGATAGACGGATGGGATGGATGCACGGTAAGAGAGAGGCCAACCGAGTGAGTGGGTAAGAGAGAGAGGGAACAGTGTGTGTGCGTGCCCTTAGAGTGATGTGTGGGCGTGTCGCATCCCGTCACCCGTCACGCCGGCCGTCTCGGTGCTCCGTCGTCGCATCGGTAGCGCAACGAAACATGAAGATGGCAAGGCACACGTAAGACAGGATGCACCCACGCCGCCACACCACAGTCTCTTTCTTAAGAATGAGTATACAGCAACCCAGCTAGCTCGTCTTATCAGTGTGTGTGTGTGTTGGGGTCTGTCGGGTCAATCGTCTCTCTTCAGACAGAGCAGAGAGAAAAGGCCGGCCGATAGAGAGAGCTGAGCTGACCCGCCTCATGGCCCCATCCACGATCGCTTAGTTGCCGTAACAAAAGTACTAGCGCATTTGCTAGTGGTGACTGACAGGCTGCCTGCCTGCCATGGCTTCTCTCTGTCCTCGCATCGGTCGTCGCAGCGCACACATATAGGTCACGCACCCACCCACACACACACGCAGGCAAGCAGGCAGGCAGGCAGGCAGCGGAAAACGACCCAATGTAGCCATGGCATGACTCATCCATCACCCCCCACCCCCACATCAAAGCAGGCACACACACACACACACACACACCACAGGCAGGCAGTGAGCCAACCGCACTCGATGACTTGAAGCAACAAAAGTGGACCGACCAGTGGGATACAATGAATGGGAAGGCAGGCAAGGAGGCAGGCAGGGAAGTGGTGTGGTATCTATCGGCTCGGTAGGCGACAAAATTGCTAGACTAGGGAGGGAGAGAGAGAGAGTAGCAATGCGACGGAGGGAGGGAGGGTCTTATTGCGTACACCTAGGAATGCATCACACACATCACAAATATATACGGGGCGGTGGGTTGGTTGCTCGCTCACTATATCGGACCTGCCTGCCTGCCTGCCTGGTGTGTCTAAGGGGGTTGGGGGGCCAAGGGGGGGGAAGAAGGAAAAAATCTGTGGCTTGTCTTGTCTTGTGTGCGATGGGTAGCTGGCTGGGTGAATGGGTGAGTGAGTCAGTCAGTCGGCCTCTGAGCAATATATAGGGAGGGGTATGGTCGTATGGTCGTCTTATTCAAAAAGAAAAGGCAACGCGGCTTATGCGATGCGATGCGATGCAGGTACGCTACCATACCCACACGCACACACACATACAGACACAGATACACACAAGGCAACCCAGTCAGTCAGTCAGTGGGGTCGGCCTGCTTGCCTGTTTGCCTTCTTGCTGCCTGTCTGTCTGTCTGTCCCCCCGGTCCCCCTCCCTCCCTGCTGCCGTGCTGCCTGTGTTTGTAGCTATCTGGTTGGTGTTTACACACATGATACACACACACATACACATAATACAGTTGTGTTGAAACCGACTAACGAATCAAGCAGGGGCGGTGTGTGTGTGTGTGCGCCGTTCAAATCACGTGTGTGCCTTGATCTTGATGACGGGCGGGCGGATGGATGGCTGTCATGTCTCATGTCACCATGCACACACACACGTACGCAGCCAGGCAGACAGACAGTGGGCCGACAAAAAAAGAAACCGCGGCCGGCCATGCCATGGCCCTCCCCCCCTCTCTCCCTAGATGGGTCGATCGCCTTCACACGCACGTCACTCATTCATCACTCTCAGACACTCATTCTCCTCCCTCTCTGTCTCTCGCCCCCAGCCGCCCGGCCGCCCGCCTCGTGTGTCCGTCTTGAAAGTTGCAGTACAGCTATCTATCGTACGACACCTCCGCGACTCCGGAATGCATCAGCAAGCTGCCAAAGACAGCAGAGGGCCAACACGCTTGTGTCTCTGTGTCTGTGTGTCCAGCTGTCTGTGTGTGCAGCCGTACGTTTCGCGGCGATTGGTCGGTGGTCAGGATTCCTCCGCCCCCTGCTGCTGCTGCTGCTGCTGGTGCTGCCCCTGCTGGTGTTGCATCTGCATCAGGTTGATAGGGCTGCTGCTGTTTGAATTGTTGATGAGGTGTGCCGGGACCTCCTCCCTCTCCAACCGATCCATCAGCAGATCGATGTTGTTGGCCTGGTTGTTGGCCTGGTGGTGGTGGCTTGACTCCGCCCCGACTGCGCAAAGAAAGCACCAAATCGCCAGCAGCAGTGGGTGTGGACACTGCATCCACGCCGCCATGCACACGGCGGTGGGCCATGCAGTGCCACCCACCCCACACCCCCTCTCTCCCTCAGGTCAGTGCACTGTCTGTGTGTGTGTGTGTGTGTGTCAGGTCTGCAGTGCCACTCAGGTACCTTTCTGTCCAGCAGCGTCTGCCGGCGATGCATCTGACCGCATTTCTGCCTCCCTCTCCTGGTTGAGCGTCTTGGCCACCTCGGCGTGGACGTCCTCCCCTTCGCCACCCAGAGCAGACGACCGGTGCTGGTGCTGTCGTCGCTGCTGCGGGATGGGCGAGGCCGATGCATTGGGTGGTGGGGCCATCATCATTTCCTTCTTGTCATCGAATTTGAGGCGTTGCTGGGGTGGCTGTGGTGCGCTGGCTGGCGGTGGCGAGGTGTCGTCATCCTCATACTCGTACTCGTCATCGTCTTCGGGACCATAGGCAGCACCGGCGTCGTAGCGAGACGGCTGCACACACACAAGACAAGGAGCAACATTTTGTATATACCATCTGCTCTCTCTCTCTCTCTCTCTCTCGCCTAGGTGCCGCTGGCTGCGTACCTTCGGTTGGTTCTCAAATACGGATGGCTGTGGCGCCTGTTTCTGTTCGAGTCGTGTCGAGTATCCGACGAATGCCCGCGACTGCTGGGGAGTGCTCTCGTACACCGACTGCTGAGGCTTCCCGCTCGACGCCTCTGCACAGCACACGCCATTATCCACACACACACGATGGATCAATGGGCGTGGCGTGGCGTGTTGCGGTGTAGTGTGGTGTGTTGTCTGTGATGGATGCTTTGTGTGCGGTTGACGTACGTACCGGCCTGTTGGTTCCACTTGGCTGTGGCGGGCGAGTCCTTGGGTTTGTTCTCAAACACAGAACGTGCATTGGCGACCGGACCTGATGCCATCCATCACACAACACACCCTCTCTCTCTCTCTCCCTGTGTGTGTGTGTATGGCTGTGGCGGTGGCTGGGTACGGTACTTGATTTGACGTCCGTCCGCCAGGAGAACGACGCCCCCGACTCCTTGGGGGCATTCTCATATGTAGACTTGCCCTTCTCTGCTCACAGACAGAACAGACAGATAGACAGACAGACAGACCACCACCCAATCACGGAGGAGTCCTTTGTGGGGTGTGTGTGTGTGTGTTGTGTGTGGTTGAGTTGATGGACTGACTGACCAGTGGGTGCTGCTGCTGCAGCGGGAGTGTCCCATCTCACAGCAGCCTGCGATGGCTGCGGCGAGCTCTCAAACAGCGACCGGCTCGACACGGCCGCCTCCTTACCCACACCACCCGCACCGGGCGGCTGACCTGCACACAGCAACGACCAACACATACACACACACATGGAGGGATGGATGGATGGATGTTTTGCCGCCCTCCCTGTGGCTCAGGGACTCACTTCGATAGCTGGCGGCCACTTCAGCCTCTTTGGGTGCGTTCTCGAAGACGCTCTTCTGCACGGCGCCAGCAGGCGGCACCGACGGCCGCGACGCAGCAAAATCCGCCGCCTTGGCGTCCTCGGGCGGCGAACTCTCAAACACACTCCTCTGCGGCTGACCACCACCACCACCAGCCCCGCCCCCACCGCCCCCCTGCTTGTCGCCGGCACGGAAGTCCGCCACACCGACGGCAGGGGTGCTCTCGTACACCGACTTGGCGGTCTTGGCCTTCTCGGCTGCCTTGGTGGGGCTGTCCTCCCCCCCGCCCCTGTTGAGGGCGCTGTAGTCGGCGACGCGGCTCTGCGGCACGTTCTCGTAGACGCTTTTGGCCACAGCACCGGCACCGCCCTTGGCCGCCTCCCCCACGCCGTTGTGCTTGGGGGCCTCGCCGGAGCGGAAGTCAGCTCGCTTGCCGTCGTCCCTGGGTGCCGACTCGTAGACGGATTTGGGCTCTGGGAGCGATAGGTCCCTTGGGGGTGGGCTTCTCGAACCTGTGTCAGCCGAAGAGCGGTGCGGTTTGCGTTCAAAGATGGAGAGGCGTGTGGGTGTGTGGTAGTGGTGATGCACACGAGGCACCGGCTGGTTCTCGTACACTGCTCGTGTGGGGTGGACTGCCTGCTTGTCTACTGGAGTACCTGAGTGAAAGTCGGCGACACGATCCGCAGGCTGGCTCTCGAAGACGCTCCGAACCGGACCACCACCACCGCCACCGCCACCACTCCCACTCCCACCCCCAGCCGCACCACCCGCGTCCTTGTCGCCCGCTCGCGCGTCGGCCTTGCTGGGCTCGGGTTTGCTCTCAAACACCGACTGCTTTGGCTTGCGGCTCTTGCGCTTGGCCTTGGCCTTAGCCTTGCTCGACGCTGAACTCTCACCGGGCACCGACGGCTGGTGGTCGCCCGACGGGGGAGAGATGGCGTTGGGCGGCAGGGCCGCTGCGGGGCCTGGTGCAGGTGCAGGGGCTGCTGGAGCTGGGGATGGCTCTGGGGCCTCGTGTTGCTCTGCCTCTTGGACTACAGCAGCAGCTGACTCGGACACAGACGCAGGTTCGGGGATGGGGGCTGGCGGGGGAGCAGGGGACGATTCTCCTTCGACATTGTTGGGGTGGGACACCTGAGGCTCATTGGCCTCGTCTGCTGCGGCGGGCTGTGGCTCAGGTGGCTGCTCTGGCTGTGGCTGTAGCTCAGACACTTCCTCCTCCTCCTCAGCACCACCATCACCTCCGGCAGCATCGGCAGGAGCCGGAGCAGGGACGGCCGGTGCGACGTCATTGGCATTGTCGACATCGGCCGCCCTGTCCTCCTCCGGCTGCTGCTCCTGCTCAGGGACCTCCGGGGATTTCTCCTCAACTGCCTCAGACTCCTAGAAGAACACTCAACACACACAAACCACAACACAGTCAGTCCCATCGTGGCTGCCTCTCTCTGCTGTCTGGAGAAGAGAGGAAGCGCCACAGCGTGCCGGCGACTGTCTCGTTGGGCTTTCTCACCATGGTCACGCAGAAGGTCGCTTGTGAGGGTCAGACGGGCCGCCTCAAGACCTCAGCTGGCCTCGAGGCACACACACGCATGCCTCAAAAGCAAAATGCCCGTCACCACAAACCTCAAGCTCGCACGTCGATCGCTGCAGCAAGGAAGAAAGAGCCGTCCGACGAGCAAAGGAGGCGTAGCGCGTGACGTGTGTTCGACTGCTCAAGCGAAGAGGATCAAGAACTGGCGCGTTGGTTTGGCCCTGGTGGGTTGGTCCAGTGGTTTGTGGAGGCGCCCCACAGACTGGCGAGGGAGGTGGCCAGAGCGCAGGGGACAAGCACACACATGATGGAGCAACCGGGGACGGACACCCGGCAGAATCAAGGTACGCTGGCACATGGTGACTGCACCCCACCCACACCCCTGTGTGCGCGTCTGCGTGTGTCTGTGTGTGTGCAGAGGCACCCCTGCTCCCGTCCCCCTCCTCCCCTCACCCCAACGAGCGCTCCAGCCGCCCGTCGTCCCGCTCGCCCTCCCCCGCCGCAAATGGCAATGGCAACGGTGAATATGATGGGAACATAGCTAATGGTGAACGGCCCCCCCTCCCGGCCATCCCCATACCACCATCTGCCCCAAAGGACTCACCAGCATCGCCCCCATTGGCCAGCGAGGAGGAAGCGGAAGCGGCAGCGGGGGAGAGATCCCCGCAAGACAACCACCACCAGCAGCAGCAGCAGCCGCGACAGCATCACAACGGTGTTCTCGAGAACGAGAAGAAGCGTCAGTGGAGTGAGGGTGTGGGTGTGGGCTGCATTGTGGGTGGTAGTGGGGGCGGGGGTGATCGGAAGCGAGCCAAGGGCAAGGGCGGGAAGCCCATGGTGATAGCGGACCATGAGCTCTACAGGGGGCAGCATGACGAAGTCTGCTTCAAATGCGGCGTGAGTGAGGGGATGAGGGGATGGGAGGGGGTGGGGAGTGGGATGGACACTGAGACCACACACAGATGCATGGCATGATTGTTTTGTGTGTGTGTGTGTGTGTGGATGTGTGTGGATCTGCAGAAGCATGGCACGCTCATCTGCTGCGACACATGCCCACGCGCGTGGCACAACACGGTGAGTCAGCCAGCCCTCATACCCCTGCAGCAGGCCGACATGAAACACATTCGTGTGTGTGTCAGTGCTCCGGCTTCCGGATAGGGGAGTTCCCACCTGACGCTGATCCCTGGATATGCCCCCTGTGTGGTGAGCGAGCAACCACGCCGCGATCCACTCACTCCCTCTCGTGTCATTGATGCCAGACGTCCACGTGTTTTGTGTGTGTGTGTGTGTGTGTGCAGATGAGGTTCGCAATGGCCGTAGGTCGAGGAGCGGCAGCGGGTCGCCCACGGACAGACAGCCATGGGACCGACGTCCATTGGTGGCTAACGGGTATTACCACCCGGCCGGCACGGCACACACACTCACTCACGGACACACATGACATGCCCTCTAGTTTGTGGTGTGGTGGATGTGCGTGTGTCGTTTTGTTTTGCCAGTCGGCGCGAGAGGCCTGCAGCAGCCCCCGCGAGACGTCGCGGCAACAAGCACATGCGCGACGACGACAAGGCCCCGGAATCAGATGACGACCACGACTCCGTATGCAACCTGTGCAACGTAAGCAGAGCAGGCGGGGCGATACACACACACACACACACGGGGGCGGGCGGGATGTCATCTCTGTCTGTGGTGTGTCTGTGGTGTGTCTGTGGTGTGTCGTTGTGTCAGCTTCACGGCGAGCTGCTGTGCTGCGACACATGCCGCAGGGCCTTCCATATCAGCGTAAGGACACCGAGAAACCAACCAAGCGGCCAACAAAACTGCACAGAGCGCCTGCCTATTGGACAACTGTGTGTGTGTGTGTGTCCATCGGTGTGTGTATCAGTGTCTGAAGATGTCTTCCCCGCCGCCCGAGGAGGTGGAATGGTCATGCTGCTACTGCGCCGGCACATTAGGTACACACACGCATTATACACCCACCCTGACTGACCAGAGTGAGTGAAATCACGGTTGAATGTGTGTCTGTCTGTCTGTGTGTTGGGTTGACTGACATTCAGATCTTCGGGGCGTTATCCGCGAGAAGCCTGGCGCTGCTGGTGGAGCCGGTAGTGGTGGGAGTCAGAACTACCTGGCGGTGGTTGAGGAGAGGAGGAAGCAGACACCGCAGATCCTCGACAGCCTGTAAGGAAGAGACAAGGCAACAGACAGACACGACGCGATGGGAAGCCGTGGATGGATGGATAAATGGATGTCTGTGTGTCAGTCGAGGTCGCCGTAAGGCCAAGAGCGAGGGCACCTGCCGCGGGCACATCAGGGTCGGAGGGGCCTACCAGGTTCGCTAACACACACACACACGCACACCCATACACACACACACACACACACAGACACAGAGAGAGAGACCCGCCTCAAATAAATGTGTCTGTCGGTTCTGTCCGTCAGGTGCCCGATAAGAACATCCCTGAGATCTTCCTCACGGCAGGGCCGAGCGGTGAGCCAATTTTAAACATCCTTCCGCCCCCACGCACTCGCACCTCACCATCTCTCCCTCTCTCCCCTGTCTGTCTGTCCGTCTGCCACACACACACACAGGAATGGAGGTCGACTACCAGAAGCTGGCGGGCGACCGGTCCCTCTGTCTGTGGTCATCCCTCCAGTGGGAACAGGCCTTCGCGCGCGAGAAGAAGCGGCGGCAGCGGGAGAGGAGGGCGCGGGACACCCACCGGCGGGCCAACCACCACCACCACATGATGTTCTATGGGGGCATGGTGAACGGGGTGGACGATGAGGGCGGGCCGGGGGAGGGGACTGACATCCCCTTCTACGAGGGGGACCATCACCAGGCCTGTAAGAGACGAGACACACACAGGAGGGAGAGGGAGGGAGGGAGGGAGGGGAAGGGGGGCAATGTGTGTGTTGGTGTGTATTTGTCAGTGTCGAGTTACCTGTCGTCTGCGAAGCGGAATTGGCTGCTCAATGTCCCCTACTATGACGAGTTCGCTCTCTCGGTCGGTCGGGGTGTGAGCCAGCAAGACAGCTAGCCAGGCCACAACTGACACACACACACACATCCAGGGCTGCATCTCTCTCTCTCTCTGTGTGTGTGTGTGTGTGTGTGTGCAGGTGTTGCGTTTCGCCAAGTATGACATCGAGAGGGCCTTGGCGATCCTCATTCAGACACCGAACGCATTCAACTTTGATGGTGAGTGAGTCACGCCACCTACCTGGCTTGACTGAGTGGTCTGTCTGCACACTTATGTATGTGTGTGTGTGTGCGTGTGCGTGTGGTTGGCTGTGTGTGGTGCGCTGCAGCTGTGTGTCAGCCCCCACTGCGGCCGTACCCAAACAAGTGGCACCCCAAGGACGTCAGGGAACACATGAGACGTAAGCCGGACCACAAGGCCTTACGGACACCAATGCAGCACCACACCCCATCCATCCATCCATCCATGTCGGCGTCCATGTCATGTGTGCATGGCACCCACCCATCAGAAATCCCCCCCTTCCCCCCTCTGCGCGAGCGCAAGGTGCGCGTGACGGCCGACGGACGAGAACTCAGGGACAGAAAGGTCAGCTCAGCGGGCTGGATGGGATGGGGGACACACACACAGGCACCAGCCAGATCAGATGTCGCCCTGTGTGCCGTGTGTGTGTGTGTGTGTGTGTGTTGTCCTGTCCTCCTCAGCGTGTGGATTATGCGCGATCCTGAATGAGTGGATGGATGCCCGGGGTGGGTGGTGGCGGGTTGGGTTGTGTTTGCGGTGGGTGCTGAGTCGCTTTTCTGGGCGATCGGCCTGCCTGGGTGTACAGAACGGACTCACTCCTGGCTTGCATTTCCCTGTGCCTGTGAATGGATCGGGGCCTCCCTATCTTTCTCGTCTCTCTGCCTCTATGCCTAACTGTCTGCCTATTGCTTCGTGGCTGTGTGGGCCAGCCGATTTCCATCCGCTGGTTTGTGGTTCTGGCGCGGTTGCGGTGAGGACCTCGCACGGCGTTTCTCGCTGCCAGACGGAGGTTGCGAGAGATCACGTGCGCGTGGGGCATCGGAAAGCACCAGAACCACAGACAGGGCTGAACGGCACTCTGTCTGTCGTGGGGTATGACGAACGACATCCCTGCCTGCTGCAGTGTGTTTGCGTGTCTCATGCATGGTTTCTTGTTGTCACCCTTCACCCTAGTCACACGATGCCAGTCTCGTGTCTGGCTCAGGTGTGGGATGGCATTGGGGGACCATACCATGCACAGACACGCATCCCTGCATGTTGGATGCGAGAATGACTGTAGCAACTAACTAAGGTCAATTATATCATTATATCTTCGGCTGGAGATTCTTCTCCCTTCCGGAAGCTCTGCCTGGCCTGCCTTCTTCCCTCCATCCTCATCCTCTCAATCCATGTATGTATGTATTTGTCAGCTGGCTGTCGACAGAGACAGACTTGACCTGCAGCAGCGATGAGGCTGCCGAACCGAACTTTCTCCCCTCTATGTATCTATCATTCCCGGCTGGTCGTGTGCATTGATCCTGGCTGCTGCTGCTGCTGCTGTGGGTCTCTGAGAACACCTTCTTGCGAAGATGTTGTGTGAGTGAGTGAGAGTGTCCGTAATCTGACACCTGCTTGACGAGCTCAATGCGTGTATCCTTCAGCCGATGCATATGGGCTTTTCCTTGTCCCTCACGCCACATCCTTACGAAACAAAGGCATGGTCACGTTGTCTATGTATGTGCCAAGGCAGGCAGCCAAACGACGCAAAAAATCACACAGCGAGAGAGCGACAGCAACACAGCCGTACGACCGACGAAAGAGTAGTCTACATTGTGCCGATCAATCCATCAACCAGGCAAGACGACACGAGTGCAGTCCCTCATCTTGACCAAATACAGACAGACAGCTTCATTCATCAAACAAACACGTATCTATCGTATCTATCTATCTACATACTGGCTGGTCAACCGGCCGTCTTGGTATACACATCGATCGCATCACGTGTCAGTGTCAGCTGTCGCCTTCCCAATCTCCCCCCGTCGAGTCCTTTGTGACATTGCCCACAACAGCCGGCAGTGGATGAGCTGGAGGCTGCGGAAATGGGACAGGCGGCGGCAGGGAAGACCTCCTCTTCGACAGCGTGTCTTTCGCCAAGGCACCCCAATAGAGAAACACGCCGAAAGAGAACAGGTAGAAGGACCTGCCAAACCATGTCGCTGCGAACCCCAAAGAGCACTCGGCGCCGTGCATGTCGCCGTTTCCAAAGCAGAGGTCGTGTCCAGGCCAATCGCGCCAAAGAACCCCACCGAGAAGCACCAAGACAAAGGCCGCAGATATCATGGTGCCGGTCGCCAGATTGGTCGGCTTGCGGCATTCACATACTAGCCCAGCTGCAGCCAATGCGAATGCCGCACTCGATGCCCAGTAGACAAGGATGCCAGCCCACTTCATCTTGTCCCAGGCCGCCTTCATCTTGTGGTCATCCCGCTCCGCCGCCTTGTCACGCAGACGGCCGTAAGACGACCAGGACGAGCAGAACGAGCTGAAGGCAGATACCTCCGATAGCACCATGTGGCACTGCTCAAAGGCCACCTCCGAGTCGCCGAATGGAGGCGCTTGGACGCTCTTGTCACGGCAGTGAACACCATTCCGTGCAAAGCAGGCCGTAACGTCAGAACTGCACCTGTGCACCACCACGGTCACCGTGTAGAATTGAAGACCCATGCGCTGCTTCACTACGATCCTTCCATAGCTCCACTGGCCATAGCTAGCGTGTGCTGATTCGGCCTCACGCCAGAATGATCCGGTCAGCGGCAAGAGGACCAGCTCACAGGCCAGAAGGATGGATATCATAGCACAGCGGGAGCATGGGTGGTAGGCGGCACAGCCCATAGAAGCGACGGCAGGCCTGAGGGAGGGAGGGAAACCAACCGACTCCCTGCTTGAGAAAGAAGAAAGATGTCGTCACTTGTACCTTCGCCCTTTTATGGTTCTCTGCCAGCGGCAAGCGTGCTGTTCATTTGTTTTACGTAGACCCCTGCCCGTCCAGTCAGTCGAGCTCAGGTTTCTACATGTACAGTGCACTGGATGAAAATGACCTATCAGATCTGCCTGTGTCTACATATCTGCCTTCGTCGAGGCGGTCTGTCGCTCATAAACTTACTCTTACTAGGACAGACACGTACCACAAAGAACGACAGAAAAACTGACCACACACCCCACACCCCAGAGCGGCCTTCACCAACACGAAACACAGCACTAGGCCAGCCAAGAAAGGGCGCTCATTGGCCATCAGCAATCCTGCGGGTTCCCCACTACCTCAGGAGGGACGTTCTGCTGTGGCATCGGAGGGACGTTGTGCTGTGGCAGCGCCGTCCTCTGTGTACTGCCGTCACACACATCCGATAGCACTCCACCGAAGTAGATCCAGAGCGCAAAGCCGAGAAAAACGAGAACAGAGATGCCACTCCACACCGCCGGTCCGGATGTCCACTTCGTTTCATGCAGCTCATCTTTGGAGACGATGCTAACAGAACCACGAGCGGAACGAAAGGACAGCAATCCGTACAGCACGAGAAGCAAGACGCCGCCCAGCACAGCTGCCATGGACAGGTCAATCACTTTAAGGGGTTTCCGAGACTGGATAGCGGCCTCCAGACATCCAAAGCCACAGCAAGCCACAACCGTCAAGAAAAGAGCCAGACTCGCCGTGACGTAGAACTTGATGCCCACTGCCTTGGCCTTCCGCCACATAGCCTCCATCTCGTCGTTTCCAGCTGCTTTGTCGATCAGGAAGTCATAGGATGCTCGGCAGCGACAGTGGACGACGTCAGGTTGCTCTCTCAGGCGCTCACGAGTCTTGACGCTCTCCTTGCAGTCCTTGAACTGCAGTTCGCCAGTGAGAGGCGTCTTAACGCTCTCACTGGCACAGCGGACGTCCCCCGACGCAAAGCAGTCAACTTCTTCGCTGTCACGGCAGACACGGTGGAGCTCGACCTCCAGCTCGTAGAACTGTAGACTCGTCCATTGCTCAATCTTCATGAGGGACAGCTCCCTTGAAGCGAAGGCCGTACAGCGCGACCAGGAGCGGCCAGCCAGACTCGAGATGAGTGGAGCAAGGGCCCAACAGAGAGGAAAGACGGCGAACCGGCGTGCCTTCAGTGAAAGTTTCTCGGTGCTCATCTCGTTGCTCGTCCGACTATGTGGTGAAGTGCCTGTCAACACATAGCAGGACATCGGGGGTGTCGCGTGAATGACCGTGTCACCCTATGTCGTCACCTGGAGCGAGGGGATCTTTCCTTCCTTGGATCCTTCCCTGAGCAACGGGTCTGCGACCTTTTAAGCGTAAATGAGTTTGTTGAGCACCACCACTTGTTGAGTATATCGCATTGAAATGCACACCACACCGCTCATGCAAGGGTTCTTGTCGCATTGCAATGCAAGCAGGCATCAATGAAACACGCCATGGGTCATTGGTGAATGCCTTCCGCTGAGCGCCAAGCAGGAGGTCAGCGCGATAAGCACGGCCCCGACTGAAGGGCCAATCGTCACCTGCCTCTGCCGATGCCGCCTCTGCCCGCCTGCCGTTCAAGCAACCCACCACAAACCGACTCATGCAACAGTTTCTGAAATGTCTCTTTTTCCAGCACTCACTGTGTCTCATTCTCTGCGTCAGAAGACTCCACCCGGGCTGGCTTGCAAGCAGAGCCGCACACACTGTCCGCAACAGCGGATACCGAGGCTTGAGGCCGGAGAAGTCGTGGGGGAGGGAGAGAGACACACTAAGGGGGCAGAAGATGAGTGTACCCACGGACGTCAACAGAAGCATAGACCAGATGACAAGACGCCCCTTTCCTTGCGTGGTAACGACCTCAAGGGGCCTGCGAAGAGCACGGGCGACGGATGAGAAGGAGAAGTAGCCCATTCTCGCAAAGACTGCCCCCACGGTGAAGATTAGAAAGAGGAGAGACGCCATCAAGCACTGCACTCCAATCCTCGCGAGCATGCAGGCGACGACGTTGTGTGGACATGCCTGCCGGACATGGGAATGGCCGATCGTCCCCAACCCACCCGACAGACTCGCAAATACGAAGAAGAGCTGCAGCAGGGCGGCTGTTGTATAGTTGCGGTCCATTTGTGGCGAGGGGTCCGTGGGAAAGAGACGCACTCGGCTGAGCAGAAAGCCGACGGGAGCCAAGACAATGCTCGCCCATGTGTTCCAATCGTGTGAACCATAAGCGAACATGTCCACCAGACCGAACAGCGGATAGGCAAGAGCGCAATCGAAGCTCGTCTGTGCCCAGGCCATCCGGCCAGAAGAGATAGCGTACGTCTGTCCCAGATATCCGAGAAAGAGACAGACCGAGCACAAGATGGTTGATAAGCCGAATAGTCGCGTGAAGGCGTCCTTGACAGACAAGACAGCCCATAGCACGAAGGGGACGAGAAGGATGGCGCACACGGCGAAGCGGAAGAAGGGAAAAAGTGAGGGGACTCCATCATAGAGAGAGCCAAGCCTTGATGTGGCTGGGAACTCCATGGCCCACAGAAAGGTGGCGGCCAGTAGGATTAGAGGAAGCATGACACAATGGTAGAAGATGTCGGCCGTCGTCTAGGCTTGTAACAGAGCAGAGAATGTCATGCTCTCGAGTGCCGCGAGGGACTTGTTCCTTGCAGTCCCCCTCGCTGTGGTGTTTGTGTATGATGCCGGCTTGCTGTGTGGATGCAGAGCGACTGCCGGGACAAAGGGAAGGGCCACGTCAGCCTGGATGCGCAAGAGACATACATAGAATGACGCAAGATCTGCCCTGGGCCCTGCCTTGGCCAGCTGAGCTCACCGTTCCGTTTTGATCCGCCCCTCCGCACAGGGCGAATTGGTCAATCAAGCACTCGGGCTTCTCGGCAAGAGTCTCAGCCCCGCCGTCAAGAGTCTGGCGCTGTGGGTTGTGCGTGTCTCCCGGCGTGTGTTGATGCCTTGCCGCAATTCCCTCATGAGATGTCGAGCTCTGCTGAGCTGCGCTCATTGCAAAGGCGAAGGAGATCACCACGGCGAGCAGGTGAGGGGAAGAACGTTGCCCAGGAGGCATGGTGAAGCCCTCGACGAGCCCAATACGAGCCCCAACTTGTCCGATCTGTGGGGCTGGCTGATTGAGCGTCAGATGCAGCCTTGGACCACCGGGGGTCGACTTGCGATGCACGAGAGGCTGTCAGAAGCTGCGCGCCCCAATGCCACGAGGGTACTTGGCTGTTAGTGTGCGAGTGCATGCATGCACCGTTTTTTGTGCGAGCCGGGGGGCTCTCGGGGTGCCCCCAGCCAGCCTCACAGGAGCCCTTCGTAAGGCCCAACATGGCGGCCTTGACCCACGGCGTCATGCAGTCTTCAGCGTCTATCCAAGTTCACCCACCTCAAGACGAAGCACAACAGCGAAGCGTCTGCAGCGATGCGCCAGTTGTGCCCATCGGCATGGACGGCGAGGAAGAGATTCCGAGTTCTCCGCCACGCAGCCCAGGCCGGCATGCGGAGATGGTGAGAAATCTCGTGGAGACTGGAGATAGGGTGTTCACCGGTGGCGAGTTCGAGAGGGCTCTTGACCGGTACTCTCGAGCCCTGGGGGTGTATTCCAGGGAGAAGCATGCTCTGCTTCAGCGTGCCAAGTGTCTGATGTACCTGGAGCGTGCAGACGAGGCCAAGGCGGACATCGAGCTCCTCCTTGATCTCGAGCCCCAAAACTCCGAGGCCATTCGCCTGCTCCAACAGTTCCAAACCAGCCCCTCACGTCCGGTGACCTCACCGCCCAAGTCGCCTCCCCGAGCCCGGCCGCCGCCGCCGCCGCTGCAGCTTAATGAAGAGACGACGAGCGCCTATTTTCGAGCTCTCTTGCTGCAAGGCGATGTACTTATCGAGTCGCCGCGAGCAGCAAGGAGAATATCTGCTGACATGTCACCAAAGTCGAGGGGGACGTCTCCAAGGGGCCGACCATCGACAGCAAGTACCTCGCACAGGGTGTCGTTCACCCGACCTGCGTCATCGAGAAGAGGAACGATGTCTCCGCGAGAGAGGGCTGCCATGGCCAAGGCGGCGATTGCCAAGAGCGCCCTGGCTGCCCGGATCCTGGCGGAGACTCCACGGAACAAGGGGATGCGGAAGAGGGTGGTCAACGTAGACATTGTCACCGATCCGCTCTTCATGGTTTCCCCCTACGTCATGTGGAAAGAGGAGCAGCGGGAGAAACAAGATAAGAAAAAGGGTAATGTCGAGGAAAACAAAGGGACCGAGATAGAGACCAAAGCGGCTGCCCCACCGTCGCCCAAATCATCCAAGCCGCCCAAGGCAGCAAAGGAGACAGAAAAGAGGGCCCCATCCCGGAAAGAACCCTCTCGGCCTCGCCCTCCTGCCACTCGCCCCTCTGCGCCTACGGCTGCTCCCTTTCCGCCACCGCCCCCATCCCGCCGCGCCAGGCTAAAAAAGTCCCCATACCGCGAAACCATGGCCAAGAAGCCGCTAGCCGAGCCTGTCCCTCCCCGACCACGCACCAAGCGGCTTCGGTCATCGGAGTACCAGAGGAAGTATTCGTCCGTGTTGGGGGAGTCGCGGGGGAGATCGCACATCTTTGACGATGAGGACACCGTGATTCGCTTCCAGGGAGTCCCCACCGTCGACGTAGATGTCGATGTCGATTTGACCCCCGACACGACGAGAAGATCGCCGCCTCCCCCGCCCCCCAGCGGCCTTCCCTCGCGCATAGAGTCGCCTGAGCCTCCCGCATCGAGACACGGGACGCGGAGAGGCCAGGACGACGACAGGAAGAGCTATGACGGCACCGTCCACCGGCAGTGGTCAGATCAGACGCCTTCGCGGCCCATGACGGCCGACCCAAGCAGACCAAGACGAGATGAATGGGCGGCGTCGGCGGGCGAGGACCTGCCAGAGGGGCTCGGGCGGCCGACAGCTGTAGATGTGTCGCCGCGGGCGACGCTCGCTCTGTCGAGCGGTCCGGGCAGGCGCGCTCCGGCGAGTGTGGTTGCGACCGAGTTGCTGCGGCCGATAAGGCAGACGAGGGTGGCTGCGTTGAGGCATCATTGCTATGGTTTGTGGAGGGGAAGGGAAGAGGGGTCAGAGGCCAGCGCGACCATGACACAAAGGTGAGGAGACACATCGAACAGAGCCACGAAGATCAAGACGTTATTGTGACTTTGTGTGTATGTTCAGTGCTGAGCGTCCCTCTGTGGACTCGCGTAAGCGTCGCGCTATTGCTACATATCTCAACTGGACCGCACGGATCGCTCAGGTGAGGCCTCTGGTCGCTGATCATCACTCCCCTCTACGTATGCCATCTTTTCTCCCCAGATCCAGGAGGCCCTCGGCGTCCAGGACATCATTGCCCCTCGCCAACCTGGTCACCCCCGCGCCAACAACGCGCCAGCGCTCATCGCAGCCAAGCTTGACCACCTGAGGGCGTTCCAAAAGCACCCCTTGCTGACTTCCGGGCCGGCGATCGACAGATATGGACTCACAATCAACCTGCACGCTCGGCTAGGTGAGTCTGTGAGTGAGTGAACGGGCCTGGGATGAATCGATCTCGTGTGTGTGTGTGTGTTTGTTTCAGGTGAGCTGTACTTGTGTGCGCAGCAGCGTGGGAGGGCGTTGGATGAGTTCAGGACGGCCATGCGGATGGCGGTGGCGAGGAACGCACACGGCATCGAGTGCCGCATTCTGCCCAAGCTGGGCCATCTCTGTGAGCTGCAGGGGGACCTCGCCGCCGCACAACGACATTGGAAGAGGTGTGTCTCTGATTGCTGCGTGGCTTACGTCAGTGGCTTCTCAATATGGTGTTTGTTGTCACCTGTCGGCATGTCAGGATGGCTGTGTTGCTGTCGAGTGGGATCATCTTCGAGGGCGGTCTGGCTGTGCGGCTGGCCTCTCTTCCCTTGTCGTCACCCAACTCAGTCATCCTGGTGACGATACATATCACCGTTCGTACGCCCCGTGACCCGCAAGTGCCTCCCTGTCTGTCTCATGCAGGCGGCGGTGTGTCTGCGTCTTGGCTGGTGTGCTCTCAAGAGGGCCGACACCACACACGCCAAAGAGTGAGTACGATCCTTCAAGACCCAGCCACAACCGCTTGGTTGCAATCTCTGTATTTATTTGCTTTCCTGCAGAGTTTTCGAGGATTCGCTGGCCCATCTGACTGTCATTGACAAGGGAGACACGCCACTAGATGAGGAGGACCAGGAGGAGCAGGGAAAAGAGGATGTGGCCGAAGTGAACGACCCCATTGCATCGGCCGTCTTGATGGAAGCGCATCTCGCCGTAGGTCGGTCAGCCTGTCGGCCTACCTGCCTGACTGACATTCACGACACGCGCCTATCTCTTCGTGTGCACATCCGCGTGTGCAGCGCTGGCCTCAGTAGTGGAGGTCCATCTGATGGTTGGAAAAGAGAACACATCGGGCGAAGAGCGGGATGACGCGGCAAGGGAGAGAATGCAGGAGTGCCTCCAGAAGGCATGTGACGCCTTCACCACAGCAGAGACGCTGGCGGCTGACCTCGCCGACAGTGGAGCCAAGATGGAAATCGCAAGACAGCTGCAGCAGCTGCGTAAGCCACCTTGTTCTCATGCCGCCGAGACAGACCACATTTTCCTTCATGTGGATGGATTGGTGGGTGGGTGCAGGCACAACAAGAGATTCTCTTAAGCTGACGTCCCCACACATCCCTGAGAAAGAGGCTAAGGACGCTGCTGATGATGAGTCAGGGGAGGAGGGGGAGGGCGGGGGTGGGTG